AGACGAGAGGAATTGTTTTGATAATACATCAAAAAACTAAAAACCTGTTTCTCAAAAAACTTAACCAAACTTTTCATTCTTGACCAAGGTTCTAAAGTTCCTTCACCAAATACACTTTTTAACCACATTTTTAACACTTTTATCATTTAAAGTTATGCACTTAAATAATTATTGAATGGTTCTACAGTTTCAATGTTAATGCCATGCTTTTAAAAATATTTTAAATTGAGAGCCTACCGATTCAAATTCCCAGCCACGGCTGGCCTCAGCTGCTGTGTCAGGTGTCTCTGTGCACAAAGAAATGCCCACGTGATCTCTGTGCCCCTCATTATCCGGTTGTTCAGTGATGACGCGACGAATCCTACTTCCGGGTCTAAAGTAGTCTGCGTTTAATATGGCTTTTATGTTGTTAACATGTTTAATGCTATGTATTTTCTTCTATTTGATCTCAAAAAGCTCCTAAAACAGTCAGTGATCCCTGTTGACCTCCCTCGGCTTTTATTACCGCTAATCATTTATTTAAGCTCAGTTTTTAAAACCTTAGGATGTAACTACAGCCCAGCCCATGCAGCAGTATATGAATGACTAACTTTGTATTGTAGATGAATTATCTCAGTTGTTCTCCTGGCTGAAGTTTGGTCCTTTTACAGCATCCTGCCATGCGATTACATTTGTTTCTGACCACCGAGAAAACTCACGTTAACTTTTATCGAGTGGAAAAAAAGTTAGCTTGTTTATATTATGCTAACATAGCTATGTCGCTAGCGGTCACGTAGCACATCATTATATACCAGCTAGCCAAACTTCAGTAACCCTACAAACGTCACTGCTGTTTAGTTTTCTGTCTTCATTTATGCTGGAAGTGATAAGAAAGCTGTATGTTTTAATTTGTTTCCAAAACCCCGCAGTCAGGACATGCTATATTGTATTTAGATAGAAGCTAGCGAGCTAACTCCCTGCTAACTTCTAACTCCGTTAAATGTCATAAATTCCGTTTTCATGGATGCCTGGATGTTAAACTCAATTGTTACACCTGGTAGAGCAGAACGCTGATCATTTTATTAAAGATGAAAGACTTTAGACAGTTTTTCAACTCTCAGTAATGCCACAGTGATCGTTTGATATATGGACCTGCAGCGGAGTTTAGACCCAGACACGGCTAGTGACGTCAGACTGAACAACCGGATAGTGGGTGCCTGCCTGACACCTACTCCTCGTCCCCTACCTGTGTGACTTTGCCTTCTTCCACCCTTAGCTGGGTAATTACCTTGCCCAAATGCCATTAATTGTGGCCCCTAATAAAAACGATACTTGATCAAAAAAGGTCAACCTGTATTTATTTTAGCATTGACTAATGAAATTGATCTTTTTTCATTATTTTCCATTAGGTTTACCCAAAACTCATGAGGATGCAACCTATGTATGCATGACGTATGTTCAAACCTTCGGTTGTACAGTTCTCTAAGACCTGTTTACAGAAAACAGGGGCACAATCGAGATATCTGTTATCAGTGCTGACTGACAGCAGGGGCTATTCAACTTCTATAGCAACAGGTAGGAAACTACTGAGGGTCCATACAATAATGTATACAGTATAAACTTTAATAGCTATTTTACTAGGTGGCATCAAGTAGTCACGCGCATTCCTTTTCCTTTGTAGTATCGTTTTAAGTGATTCTAGACAGCAGCCAAATCCATATAAAAAAAGTAGGACAGTCTTCATTATGATGCACAAAAAGCTATATGTAAAAGGAAAAAAAAACAGGACAAGAATAAGTTGCTGGCAGGCACAACAAATGTAGCTGGTTGGATACTGTATAACTGTATACATCAGACTAACGTTAAGCTTACATTAATTCGGGGCCTGTTATAATAAGAAAAACGCATCTAATTATATACATTAAGTCTTTAAACCAGGTCTATAAGTTGTAAAATGCTCACAGTAAGACAACACAGTTATCAAAAGTAATTATAAACTGGCATGTCCATGGGCAGAATCACAACCTATTCCAAGCAGTCACAAGTGGCTTGCAGCAGGTTCATATCCATATTTGTTTAAGGTGAAGTCACTAAAACAGTATCCAGACTAGCAGGTCTGTTTGCACTATCACAACAATAGAAAAATAGATGACAGTCTTTGTAGTGTCACTAATACAGCATTACATGC